AGACAGACAGATATATATATATATATGTGTATGTATGTATATATATATATGTATGTATATATATATATATGCATACATACACATATTCACTCGCATATTAATATAGGACATGTACGCCGATCGCATCTGGGCGGGTATTCTGCTTGTCTAGATTTGGGAAATCGACTGACCTGCAGGTGCAAGAGAACAGATCTGGAGGCTCGGGAAGGAAATCAGCTCCCCTCGTTCTCGTAGAATGGCCGTGTCGAAACAGCAAACACATTAAGACAACGGACTTCATGGGAACGCCAAGGCCCAGAAACTTTGTACATAAACCATCAACCCCTGACAACATGAAAGCTTTCAAGCTTCGATTAAATTACGTTATACCCCCCCCTCCAACAATCAAAAGCTGTAAAGGGAACCCTAAACCCTAAACCAGGTACTTACCTACCCCCGAAACCCTGAACCCTAAACCAAGTACTTATCTACTAAGATGCTGCAAGCGTGTTCCCCATGAGCTCCACAAGAGGGAAGAGCTCCAAATCCTTGGGGACCTGACGCGGGGGCTTTGGCCAGGTCGTAAGGGTTCCTGTAATATAGGACCCTTAATAAGGGCTCCTTTAAAGGGATCCTTAAAAGGGGTCTAGAAGATATCTAGAATAGGACTCTGTATTAGGGGCCTTCGTGATTAGAATAGGGTTTTGGGGCCCATTATACTCGATTTTCAAGAGGAGCACCCAAAATAGTATAGGTAGTTATTAAGGCTCCGACTACATTATCTATGAGACTCTTTACAGGTTTCTGTTGCTTTAAGCGCTCCTTTGTCGGTCCGCCGCAGCCTCCCAAAGAACCCCATGGGGGGAGCGACCGGCCGGAATTCACATCAGCCGAAAATTAATGTAGGGGCCTTAATAATTAGACTAGGGTTTTGGGGGGCTCCTTATCATAATCATAGTATACCATAACCCTAAACCCTGTTCTAATTATTAAGGCCCCTACAATACCCTCATTGCCACCCTCATACTCGACGGTCATATTGGTCCACCATATGGGGGCTTCAGAAAATAGGGGACCCTAATATAGTACCGTAAATAGTAGGATCCTTATTATAAGGACTTTAAAATAGGGTACCCTAATTTTCGGAGTTTCCCATAGTGCTGTCTTCATGGGCCTGGCCCTTGTTCACCCCTGTTTTCTCCCTGCAGCCCCTGTAACAGCGACCCACCCTGATGAGGCTTCTCGTCCCCCTCCAACTGGGCATGGTACAAGGCGAGCACCTCCGTCCCTAAGACTGCTTCAACCACATCATCATCCACCCGTCCCTGCTTACAGGTTTAGGGTTTAGGGTTTAGGGAGGCTTTCTAGAGATTTCATGAGAGCTGTGCCGGGATTCTATGGATCTTATCATGCTTTCGCCGGGGCAGTAAGAGTTGAACATTCCGTCCCTTGATGGTAGGATTCGTCGAACAGCGCCTATGGACTTCTTGAAATCTCTTCCAAACCCTGCACCCTAAACCCTGGAAACCGAATATGCCTTCGTGGATTCCCTTACATCCGAAACCCCAGCCCACCCCCCTCAAAGAACATCCTATATACACACCTTATAATCCCGTCCCGACCCATGATAAAATGCCCCAGCCCTAGAAAGTCTTCCAAATTTCTTAAATTCCTAAAGTCCTAAAGCCCAAACGGGCCCAAACCCAACGACAAAGACGTGCCTGTAAGGCCTCCGACTCCAAAACGCCGTTGACGATCCTCGGCCAGGGCACCAGCTACCTAAATAATGTGCTACCGGAGATGTGGTTACAGTAGTAAGCTACTGTTTAGGCTTTAGGGTTCAGGGTTTCGGGTCCACTGGATATGTGGTTATAGTAGTAACCTCCTGTTTAGGCTTTAGGGTTTAGGGTTTAGGGTGGTTGCAGTAGTAACCTACTGTTTAGGCTCCTTTTTCCGACTGCAGGGTTCAGGCCCTGCGTGTAGGCCTTGGCATCAGGGTGGGAACGCTTGGTCGTACGGTGCTGTGGTGAGCTGATTGCAAGCCCAGGGGCTTCAGTGTTTGAAGGTCTTTATGGTTAAGGATCTAGGGCTCTGGGGTTGTAGGGTTTAGGGGTATTCAGGGTTTAAGGACCTAGGGTTCTGGGGATTTCGGGGTTTTCACTGAACCTTATTTTTTTAACCTATATTATTCTGGGGGCTCCTTATTATTACTGTAGTATAATGGGCCCCCAAACCCTATTCTAATTCTTAAGGGCCCTACATTACTCATATCGGGGTTCTTGTGAGGTGTCAGGCGCTTCTGAGCGAAACGTAAAGGACCTTGGGCTTCGCGGGACAACCTTGGCCAATTTCGGTTTTTTTCCCACAGTGTCCCATACTGCGCACTGGACATCTTAATGGATAATATTCCCTAGATCATAAGACGGAGTCGTCTATGCCATCAGGCCGGCTCTGTTGCAAGAGCTCATGCACCAGCCATCTTCCATTCGTCATCTCCATGCCATCATACTCGGATGTAGTCTTTGCCGCTCATCTGTTGGCACGGCTTCATTCAGCACCGGCGAAGGTGATGTCAGTAGCCCGACATTCTGAATCCCTCATCCCTTTATATAAACCTTAAACCCTAGACCATTTGTGTCTCTGCACCAGGGAACCCCGAACCGTAGATCATATCACGGTAAGGAAGGCGTGCTACCAACGCCAGCTGTGCCAAGCCCTGGGAGTGCGATTCTTAACAGCGTCGTGCAGGAAACACAAACTCTAGACTTTGCCCGCCGAGAGTTTGCAGTAGGTTTGGGTTTAGGGTTCAGAGCTTTGGGGTTTCAGGGTTTCGAATCTATGTATATGACCCTGGCCCAAACCCAACACCGTCACAAAGGTCGTACACCTGAACGGCCAAATGCGCAAAGCAAGATCTCACACGGGAGCTTAAAAGCAGGGGTACCTTACATGGGCGTCCTTCTAGTCAGCAACAGCTACTTAAGAGCTCTATTGGGCTCCCGTGTCACCAGAAAAACACTCACGTCCAGGGAACCCGAGTATGGACCCGAAATAGTCGGACCATGAATAACTTGACTTGAAACCCCAACAAGGATCGCCAATCTCAAACACTACATCCACTATACCCTAAACCCTAAACCCTGAACCCTATGCCCTAAACCATAAACCCAAACCCTAAACCGTAAACCGTTACTAACCCCTAAACCCTGAACCCGATACCCTGAAAAGTCTCACATCTTGCGGACCGAGGCGCAACTGCAGCACCCCGTCTGCAGTGCAAAGGATTCCTGCTAGTCTGGGTTCTACTATAGGGGCCATAGTAATTAGTATAGGGTTTCTTTAAATAGGGATCCTTAAAGGGTTCTATAAGAGATGTATAATAGGGCTTTATATGAGGGGCCTTAATGCTTAGAATAGGGTTTCGGGGTATGTTATACTATAGTTATATTAAGNNNNCCCCCCCCCCCCCCCCCATATTACAGCTTTGTTTTGTAGAAGGGATCTATAAACAGCTTCTTTTCACAAGGGTTCTATACTACTTCTTCTTTTCCAAAAGTTTTGGGTTCTATAAGACTTCTTCTTGTCACAAGGCTTCTATAATATTTTTGTTGAAGGGTTCTCTGGCCATGGTTTGTCAATTTAGACGAGTTCTATTCTAGGGTCCCAGGAGCCAGGGTTGAGGGCGTTGCGGTGT